TCAGAATCCGCCCACTCGTCATGGAGGGGCCTTTTAAAGGAGAAATTAGCCCAGAATCTCAATAATTGGACTATGCTACCACAACCTGCAATTTTATTTTACCATATACTGATACATTCTACCGGTGGTGGACGATATACGAATAGCACTGCCCCTGTATCGTCTATATGCGGTATGAGAGGAATCAGTCAGTTTATTAAGGATTCCAAACACTCTCCCTTTACTAATTAATTGATTTCTTTCCTGCTGCACATGGACAGAGGGGCAGCCATCTTGCTTTCCTATCAGACATTTTAGGCAGAAATAAACCCCATTATTATCACCATGTTGGCATTTCATTGAGGTGTAGGGTTTATCCCTGTTTTTGTACTATCTGCGACCTCTGAGCCTCATACTATTTATCTTTGGAAATGTCCACTGAACCCGTGTAAAACTTCACAAACAATACTTTGATCTTTGCTGTAAATGGCACACTGTATCCTAGCAACCGGAATGGCTGCAATTTACATGAATTGTGTTCAGAATGTGAAATATGGCAACGTGATTAACCCAGTGATTAACGCTACCATTCCAATGCTTGGGAATGATCCAACCTGCTGGGCTGTGCAGGAAAAGCTCTCCCTCAGTCTGTACATTTCACATACTGTCTGATATTGAAGGGAATCCTTGCCATGAAAATGAAATAATGTCCCCCCTGCAGTATAAGAGCACTTTTCATGCACAGCCCCACAGCATGTAGTTTACACACACATATCTTGATAAACAGACAGGAGAACTGGAACCCTACGTGTGATTGTTAGCCTGCAGGCCAAGCTCTGTACTATGAACACTGATTTGTATCTGTCAGTCACACGGAACGTGGGTAACTTGTAGTGCAAACCTAACGATAATAAACTTAATTAAAAACTCTTTAAATTAACTTGGCAGAGATACTGTCCAGACAAACAGCCCATTTACCCCAGGAGTCTGCCCATTCAACCCAAGAGTCTGCCCATTTAATCCAGGAGTCTGCCCATTTAATCCAGGAGTCTGCTCATTTACCCCAGGAGTCTGTCCATTTACCCCAGGAGTCTGTCCATTTAATCTAGGAGTCTGCCCATTCAACCCAGGCGTCTGTCCATTTAACCCGGTAGTCAGCCCATTTACCCAAGTAGTCTGCCCATTTACTCCAGTAATCTGCCCGTTTACCTCAGGAGTCTGCCCATTTAACCTGGGAGTCTGCCCATTTAATCCATTTAACCCAGGAGTCTGTCCATTTAATCCATTTAACCCAGGAGTCTGTCCATTTAATCCATTTAACCCAGGTGTCTGCCCATTTAATCCAGGAGTCTACCCATTTAATCCAGGAATCTACCTGTGACAAACGCCGCTTTCCACAGATGTTTGCCACAGACTCCTGGAGGAGTGTGAAAGCTGGCCTCAAGCCCACAGACTATGGGCTAGGTCAGCGACTGTAAAGACCCATCTTTTATTCCCCTGGTTCCACTAGTTTGGCACTTTCCATTCATGTGCATAGAACTGAACACCCTGGCAGCCGTTCGCATGGACCAAAACCGCGAATAGACTTCAGGGGGACTTAGCCACGAATGCCCTGGAACTATTTTCGGCATGAAGACTTTGCGGTCCCCGGTCGGTCCCCAGCAGCAGTTAGCCGAGATTCTACAGAACTATTTTCGGCTAGGGGACCATGCGTGCGGTCGGTCAAATAAATGACTTCCAGGAAATTCCTGAACTGATCTGGGTGATTTTGGGATTCGTTGGTCACCCAGATTGGGGCTATCAGGGGATGTAACTTTTGTGGGGGGTTTGTGTATTTAAAGGTTTTTTTTTTTGGTTTTTTTTTAAACTGTGTGTTTTTAGTGCCTGGAGATAATTGAGTTTAATACAGTACTTGACTCAATTATCTCCCAGGCACAGGGGGGGATAATCTTGTTTTGTATGGATCTGAGAGCCAATATAATCGTGTGTATGTTTTTACTGTAGTCTACTCTCAAGTCCAGGGGGGAGTGCCCCTTGGATGGGGACCTGCATATAAGGCCAGTTGTGGCTGCCAATAAACTTATTCCAGCTTGTACTCCCAGAACTATGTGTCGGCTGGTTACTGGGAGGGCTAACCACTGTTCCAGTGTGGAGGATTCAATGGGGAAAGTCCTTGTAAGGACTAGGGCTCCCAGGAGTGTCGTCCAGTGATTGGGGGTGTGTAGAGCGAATTCCACCATTCGGCTCCAGGAGGGAGCGGTTCCAGGACCCAAGTCAAGCCACGGCAACTGTGGGCAGAAGTGCTGCGGTTTGTCCCATGTTCCAGTTAGGAATCGATCCTTGGCAGAGGTACCCAGCCAGTGACTCCAATGATTTTCCCCCTCACTAAGAAACTGCAATTAACCCTGTGATTGGGGTAAACAAGAGAGAGGTTTGCCATAGCATTATGTAAAAACTCTATGTTACCAGCAGTGGTGTATTTTAGATCTGTGCTGCCCTAGACATGACGGAACTCGGGCACCCCCTATTTTAAATTTGCCCTGTCCCTTCCTGTCAAGACCACACTTCTTCCTGTTAAAGACTACACACACTTTGACTGACAGACACACACACACACACACACACACGGACACACCCACTCACTGACAGTCACACACGCTCAGATACACTGACAAACACACACTCACTGATTTGACACAATCTGACAGACACACACACACTCACTGACATACACACATAATCACTCAGACACACACGCTTACTCACAGACACACACACATCCACATTTACTGACAGACACACACTCACTCACAGACACACACAATCACTCAGACACACACACACATTCACTGACAGACCCACACTCACTCACAGACACACACTGACAGACACACATTCACTCACAGACACACACTGACAGACCCACAAATCACTCAGATATACACACATTCACTCACAGACACACACACACACACACTGACAGATACACTCACTGATTTGACACAATCTGACACACACACACACTGACAGATATACTCACTGACAGACACGCACACACTCACTGACACACACATAATCACTCAGACACATGCTTACTCACAGAGACACACACCCACATTTACTGACAGACACACACTCACTCACAGACACACTAACAGACCTACACACAATCACTCAGACACACACAATCACTCAGACACACACACATTCACTGACAGACCCACGCTCAGACACACACTGACAGACACACACATTCACTCACAGACACACACTGACAGACCCACAAATCACTCAGATATACACACATTCACTCACAGACACACACACACTCACAGACACATAATCACTCACAGACACATACTGACAGACATACACACTCACTCATTCACAGACACACGCTCACTCACAGACACACTGTCACAGTCTGACAGACACACACACTCACTCACCTACAGACTCACTGACAGCTATACACACACACATTCACTGACAGACACACACTGACAGACAGACAGACACACACACTTTCCCTGGTAGACACACACACACATTTCCCCTCAACACTCATAGATTACTGTTATTTTTTTTTAAATTTTAATTTAAATCCACCCAGCCTCCCTACCTTTGGGAGAGAGGGGTCGATATTTGTCACCTGTGGTCTAGTGGGCCTGCTTTGCTGGCTGATGGCCAGGCTCAGGCTGTTGGGCAGACAGGCAGGAAGACAGGTGGGCGTGCAGGCAGACATGCAGACGGTACGGCGTGTAAAGCAGGCAGCGATGGTGCTAAGCTCTTCCTGCTCAGCTCCCTCGCGCGTTGCAGAGTATTGCCGGGAGCCGGAGTGATGTCATATTCCAGCTCCCAGCATTACTTTGCTGCTCGTGAGGAAGCTGAGCAGGAAGAGCTTAGCACCATCGCTGCCTGCTTTGCATGCCCGACTGCTGGCCTGGGACAGAACTAGCCGCCCTCCCTAGGGAGGCCCAAAGGTGGCCAGCCCGGCCAGCTCTTGGGCCCCCTAAAAACGAGATTAAGGTCTGAGAATTTAGGTGCCTAGTTTTTTGCCGTCCCTTAAAAGTGCGGCCAAAGGCAAATGCCTTATTAGCCTCACTGTAAATACAGTGCTGGTTACCAGGCTTACCAACATTCCCAATTCTGATGAGACAGTCATGATATCAGGGTCCTGTCCTGACTGTCCCCAAAAAGTGAAGTACGAACGCATCATTACAGGCCCCCCAACAACCCAGATGTTGGCAGGACTGTCTTAAATACTGTACCACTGTATCGATATATTGGGATCCATTGTTGGGGAGCATGTGTCACTTCTCACTTAGTCCCTCTTGTGTGGCCCCCTGTTCTTGTGTGTACTCCCTCCTCTGGGTCCCTGTCCCATACAGATACATTTTTTCCACACATTTGTAGATACAGATACTCACACTCAGACACTCATACACACATACAGTCACAAACACACATATACATACAGTCACACACCTACATACAGTCACACACTCACTTACAGATATGCATACATACAAATTCACAATTCACAAACAGACATAAATACATATAGGTACAAACATACATACAGGTACACATTCACAGATACTAATACATACAGTCACACATTCATACATACAGTCACACACTCACAGATACTCGTACATACAAATTCACAAATACAGACATAAATTCATACAGGTAAACACATACTTACAGGTACACACTCACAGATACTAATACAGACAATCACACACACATACACACACTCACAGATACTAATACATACAGTCACATACATACATACAAGTACATACTCAGATACTAATACATACAGTCACACACTCACAGAAATTCATACATACAGGCACATGCTCACAGACACTCACACATACAAGTACCCACTTACCGATATACATATATACAGGTACATTCCAACATACAAACACATACACATATATATATATATATAAATATACACACACACTCCAAGGCATTCATACATACAGGAATACGCTCACAGACACTTGTACATAAAGTTCACATTTATTGTATTTTTTTTCTCACATTGTTAAGCAGCAGTGCCACTCACTGGTGACAAATTATAACTTCGATTCAGGTTGTTTTGAAAAGTTTTATATATTTTTTAAAGTAATCAACCACATTTGGCAGGGCTTGATACACTGAGTATATTATTTAATGAAGAAAACAATTGATAAATCTCTGCTTATGGTAAGTAATGGTGGTAAGTAGTCAGGTAAAGTTTCCTGTGGGGAATCTTGTGAGGAAGCATTAACTCTGTAATTTACTGATCTAAGAGGCGGAGTTGGTGATATTAACTCAATGTCCGGAGCTGAGCGCTGAGTCTCATTTTAGGACAAAGTGTCACAGTGCGAGGAGATTCTGAGCGCCAGATTACCTCCAGCGGTTATACCCATTAATGAATGGGTTAACCACAAAGTTCTCAGCCACTCTCATTCTGATGAAGTTGTTATGGTGCACAGAATGTCCCTTTAACATGCAAGTCGCGTACACCGATTGTCTGTGTCCGTTCTGGAGCTATATGTATCTATAATAAATGCTATAATCTTGTTAGACTGTGTTAGTAAATACTATCACTGTGTGCAGACAGCGCATGTTCTGTCTGAATGAATATAAGGGAATATAAGTATGTGTTAAGTGAAGCGGTTAATCTCTGATTTCTGAAAACAGGAAGGGATAAATGTAAATTTAAGGAAACAGCAGCCATTGAAAGCTTGTGAATGGTTTCTGATTTAATACCTTGATGGCTTCGGTCTATATGTCAGTGAGCAGTAAACGTTCACTTCGTATTATGGCAGAACAAAACGATGACTGAATTGTGACGCATGGGACAGAAACTGATGGCATCACTCTGAATCATAGAGAAATTATAAACTAAGGACATTCTTCTGAAGCATTCTAGACAAACTGATTTAATACAGAATATCTCTAAATCCTTATTGGACCTTCATGACATCATTGTGAATGATATTACAGAAAATTATGATGTCATTTAGAATCTTGTAGAGACGTTGTTTACATCATTCTGAGGGTTAATACACCATTTATAATTTACAGGTTTATTCACTAGTGAGGATTGATGGAAATTCAAGGAGAAAACTGTTATAGATGAACGAGAAGCGTAGCTGACCTAGAGAAATGTTCCAATTCAGCTATTTTGGCCTTTGAAATTCACTCTGAATTGCCCACAATTTTCATGTTAGTGAATAACTCCGATGGTGTCTACTTTTTATGCTCATTATGTCCAAGTCACTCTAAAGATCTGGAACAAAACTTGTTTAAAAGATAAGAATGCGGCTCGGTTGAATGAGTCCAGGTTGGCAGTGATCAGAATCTGTCTTCTGTCACCGACCCTGTAGGTGTCTTTTAAGATGGTTTAGTCATTGATTTATGTTGCCTGTCTCTGTACTAATTGCTCTTTCTCAGTTGCTCCTTCTGGTTTGCCATCACAGATGCCATCCATGTGGTGGTCAGTTGCTTGGACTCTTCCCAGCTGTAGTGCGGCTTGTAGCCCATATCTCTCTGGGCCTTCTTATAGGAG